TCCGACTACCGCCAGTCCCCAGGGGCCAAGATCGGTACCAGGACCGGGATCGTATGGCGCCCCCCCACCACAAGGAGCTGCTATCGGCGGCTATGCACCGCCTCGTCCTGGCACAGGCATGCGTCCGGTTCCTCCCACAGGCTCAGCACGTCCGGTTCCTCCCGGCTACACCAACCCTGCGGCACCGCACCCCCACCGCCATGCGCAGTCTATCCCCCTCTCCCCCCGCGCTGCACCGCGACTAACATGCATTCCCATCCCCCTCCCCCCCTGCAGCGCCGCGACCTCCGTCTCTCTCAAGGACCTTTCCTTCCCGTCGTCGCGCTTCCACGTGCACGAGGGGACCTTCCGGCCGACGTTCGCGTCGGTATCCGGCGGCGCGTCGCTCTCCTCGCGCGTGGTGCTGACGCCGCGGCGCGCGGGCGAGCTGCTGGTGTCGCCGGCGGCCGTGACGTACACGGACGCGGCGGGGCGGTCACACGTGACGCGGCTGGCCTCGGCCGACAACATCGTCGTCGAGGACCTGCTGGCCTACCGCCGCCGCACGGACCGCCACGCCACCGAGTGGGGAGCCTACGCCGCCGCCTTCCTCCTCTTCGTCGTCGCCCCGGCCGCCTACGCCGCCCTTCTGGAGAGAGGCGTTGTTGTGGGCGAGGGAGCGAAGAAGCGCTAGGCCTGACACGTGGCCGACGTGGTGTTGCATGTTTCGAGATCGACACGTGGACCGCGTGGCTTGTCTTTGTAAACGCACGTACACGTGGGGCACGTGGCGTGCAGACACAACTGTCAGGATAGACCGTTTTGAGTCGCGATGCATCTCACGACGCCGCCACGTTTGCCCCCCTACCGTTCCCGGTGAACACTTAAACAATTCGCCCTCCGTGGGCAGCGACCGGCCTGTTTCGCCATCCCTCCTTCCCTTCCCCCCCCTCGCCTCCCCCCGCCTCCTCCGCGATGCGCTTCATCCGCAGCCCGAAGCACGCCTCGCGGCGCCCCGTACTCGTGCCACTCCTGCTCGTCTGCGTGCTGGCCACGGCCTCCCTCCTGCTCGTCGCGCTGCCCTCGGCGCCCGCGACCGACTTCGTGCCGGACGACACCCCGCCCTGCGCGCGCGCCCTCATCTTCACGGGCGCGCGCCAGGGCTCGACCTGGTTCGTAGACTCGCTCGAGCGCTGCCGCTACTCGTCCGCCGGCGCGGGCACGCCCGACCGCCGCTACGCCGACGACGTCTTCAAGCGCACCGAGCTCTGGAAGCACTTCGGCGAGCCGGCCCTGGACGGCTCCACCCTCTCCGCGGACGACGCCCTCCGCTACATCGTCGCCAACTCCAGCGTCAAAATCTTCCCTAGCGTGTACTACCGCCGCAAGGCAGACGTCGTCCACATGCTCCGCCAGCGCGACGAGTTCAACCTCGCCGTCTTCGTGCTGCGCCGACACGTTAACGCAACGTGGGATAGCTGGGTCCGCGCGCAGAATAGTAACGTTTGGAATGGTGCGAAGAAGGAGCATGACGGCGAGCTGAATCAGACGCTATATGATGCCCATGATTACTTTTTCGACAGTCGCCAGAGGTACGATGAAAACGTTGATGCCATGCTTGATGGCTTTCAGGTCCGGTATGACCTTTTTGACTATGACGATATCAAGGACAAGGCCCTCATCTACGCGCGGAACAACGCTTGCTTCATCCGCAACTGCAACTACGTCCAGTCGCAGAAGGCCGGCACCGAATCCCCCATGTGACCTCCCTACTTTTTCCACGTCCTCGCTAACTCTCGCCCTCCGTATATTATCCGCATACCACACCTCGACCATGCACATAAACGCTCTTACCGACCCGTTCCTTCCTCAGTCCTCCACCCCGCTCCACATCTTCCACGTCTTGTCGTAGCACGCCGCCACCAGCACCTCGCCGCCCGCGGAGCAGTCCACCCCGGTAACCTTTTCCTCGAACCCTGTCACGGCCGCGATCAAGCTCCACCCCCTCTTCACGCCCCAGCACTTAACCGACCTATCAAAGCTCCCACTGAACACCACATCCCCGCCGCACCTTACAGCGCTCACCAACCCGCGGTGCGCGGCCACAGTCTTTTCGCACTTACCAGCCCGCAAGTCCCACACCCTCACAACATTATCCCCACCACCCGTCACCACGCGCTGCCCATCCGCGCAAAACTCAAGCCCGAGCACGCCCCCCGCGTGCGCCTTGCCCATCGTCATGACCGCCCGCCCGCTCCTCAGGTCCCACATCCGAATCCCGCCCTCCAGCCCGCCACTCCCCATCAGCCCGCCGTCCGGGTGAAACCCCACCCGGTACACGGCCTCGTGCCCGCTCTCCTGCCGCATAACCTCGCGCCCATCATCCCACACACGCACTTCCCCATCAAACCCGCCGCTCACCACGAGCCCCTTCCTTCCGGGGTGCATCTTGACATCCCCCACCCTCCCACGATGCCCTTTCAGCCTCGCCCTCTCCGCGAACTTCCCCTCCTCCCCCCGCGCGCTCACCGCCGCGCACCCGTCCGCAGCCGCTGTCAGCAACACGTCGCTCCACTCACGCGGCACACACACGGCCGACACGCGCCCCTCGTGCAGGGCCAGCCGCTGCACCTCCTCGCAGCGCCCTTCCCCCTCCCACACGCGCACGCCGCCGCCCCACCCGCCTGTCACCACGCGGCGCTGGCCGCCCGCCTCAAACAGGCAGATGGCCGACAGCGGCCGCTCGCCGCCCACCTGGCTCGCCACGACCTCCATGCGACGCACGCACCGCACGGCCCGCTCCTCCCGCTCCCGCGCCGCGCGCCGCCCCACGCCGCCGCGCTCCCGCGCCAACCGCTCCCCCGCCTTCCGCACGCTCATCTCCACGAGCTCCGCGCGCACCTTCCGCAGCTCCGCGCCCCCCTCCGTCAGGTACTCCTCGCGCCGCAACTCCTCCACCTCCGCAACCACCTCCCCGCCACCCGTGGGCACACGCTCCTGCCCCGTCAGCTTCTCGTGCGCCAGCGCGCCGCGCAGACGCTCACGACGGTCGTGCCCGTCCTCCCCGAACAGGCACACGGGCATGCCACGCGCGCGTAGGTTTTCGCGCACGGTCGCGTCCGACGTCGGCACTAGCACTGCCCGCGCTACCCGCTCTGCCTCGAACTTCGCCAACTTCGCTTCGCGCGCTTCTCGCGCGGCAGCTAGCGCGCGATTGGGGAGTATCTCCATGGCTTCGGGCGGCATGGCGAAGGGGAAAGGGGAAGAGGTGGGGGAGCGAGGGGGGGGGCAGACGGACTGCCGTACGAAGTTGGGGCTGTTCTGTGGGGATTAGTTATCATTTTTTGAGGTCCACGTGGTCAGCGTGTAAACGTGTCATCCACCCCTCGATGCCGACACATGGACTACAGTATTTATATATGGGTGAAATCCATTGTGGTGTGCGGAAGACTTCGAAAAAGTCTAATAAAAGCTCCTTAGTTCGACGACGAGCCCGGTATTGTCCATTTGGGCCATTGTGATCTGGTTCCGCACACCACAATGGATTTCACCCTTTATATATTTATATATTTAATTTAGCCTAACGAAGCATAAGCGAAAAAAGCGATGCGATGTCCACTGCTGTACGTGCTTCATTGCACTTGTAGAATAGACATGGCTTTACAGTAATAGATATTTGCTGAGAACACTCTGTGTGCTCCAATCGTATTCTCATCCTAGCTAGCATGTTGGTGCGTATTCCTTACAAAACTGCCATTGTCGCACATCGCAACAAGTTTTTGGACACCCCCATCGTCCATTCGCCTTGACAAACAATCTTTTGACAGCCACCAACCTTGGATACCCTTCCTACATGCAACGTCTGATCCATCTACAGAAGAGTCCGATTTTCCTCAAAAACGAGCCGATCGGCAAGTTGAATCTCGCCCAATCGAGATCTAAATTCCCCTCCAATTTGCTTCATCGTTGTGAAGAGAAGAGCAACAAGGCAATACACGGAGATTTTAATGTGATTTTTTTCTTGGCGTGAAGCCTTCACTCTGCTTGGAACAGCCAAAAACAAAATGACGTGATGTCATAGCCCTTCACACCTGAGGGAGTCAATTTCGTCTGGAACCGAGAGAAGGGGACTCCTTTGTGTCTATTCGCCCTCATGAAGACAACATTTAAATATTAGGGAGTTATCTCGTGACGCTGGAAAATAAAGACTTAATTCAGTCCCGCCCCTTTCCGCACAACACTACTATTTTGCCCAACCAAAGAAGAGCATATTTACGCCTCGCGCTTTTCTTCAACAGCGACATTCCTTTCAAAGAGATTGTGATAAGCTTGCGCCTGCCGATGCTTTTGTACTGTACTGGGCTCTATTGCGCACCTTCTTTCATGCTCTTCCAAATACAGGCAAAGCAGTTGTTACCCGAAAATCGTACTGTCCATTTTAATATAGTTTTAACCGTTTCGTTTCGTCAATTGAAAAAATATACAATCTGTGACACTCTCCATATAATTTTGACTATCTTCTCTCATTCTTCTCCTCCCAACCGCCTACGCTTTCCACTGTTTCCGCCCATGTTGAACGAATGGTACCCGAAGTACCACAGTCCCGTTCTCCACACTCTCAACTGTCGTCCCCTTCACGTGTGCATCGCGTCCGAAAACGGCCCTGAGCGAGTACACGAAGTCCTCTCCGCTCTTTTTTCCCTTCTTAGCGCTGTGTCTCACAGCCGTGACGAACAGCTTTTGTCCATCAACCTTGACGCGCACGTCCTCCTCGTTCGCGCCGGACAGGTCAACGGCAAGGTAGGCTGCATCGCCCATCGCCTGGTACATGTGTTCCACCTGCAAGGCGCGGCCGGGGTGGGCGAAGGCGCCCGGCGACGGAGAGGAAATCATCACTTCGCCTCTCGTCGGGCGCAGGTGGTGGTTCGCGGTGGGGAAGAGTGAGCAGGGGAACATGTCTTTGGCGGAAAATGAAGTCTGATAGATTGTTTTCATGCGAGCTGTTGGTGCAGTAGTCTTGTGTATGAATGGACGGAAAAGGGTGAGGGGGGTGTGGGTAGAACTTCTGTTTATATAGTGCTGTGTGTATCTGTAGCAGGGCTCTCTAGTGTGGTGTCATTGGCAGTTTGCGTCTCTGCGGCGTGAGCAGTGGAAAGAGGAAGATGATCAAAAACTGTGGTAGGCGGTGTTGTCGACGGTGGAGCACAAAAGAAATATTTGTAGTTTCCTTGACGTCATTCAAAATGATTCCAGGGTGGCTTTATGACAGTCGAAAAGATAATGCTATCGTATAGGGCAATGCTTCTCTGTAGTTCGGAGGATGAAAACTGTTGTAATAAAAAATTACGGGGGAGACAGGAGGGGGGTTGGTGGAGGCGTTTGCGACACTCCTGATATTTCCCATTCCCGTGTTGGGTTTATGGAACGCAGGAGTTGGTCTGTTGCAGGGGCATCGCTTCCAGATATGGAAGGATGTTTAAAGCATTCAACGTGGCAGTATGATCAATGCTGTTGGTTCTGTATGGGGGAAACACTGCCGTGATGCACACGCCACTTTGTGTGAAGAACGTAGACGGATGCAAAGTTGCAACTAAAGTGGACGCTTGGGAATAAACCCAGCGACCAGAACCTCGAGATACGTCGCAGGTACAAACCCGGCAAGTAATTTGATCAATTCTATGTGCCAGCGAAGGATTGGGCTTAGATGACCAAAGGGTAGACTCGTGAGGGCGCTTGCAGCGAGCGCAGTTGTGAAAACTGCAGAAGTTGATTGGCGCGTGGTTTTCTCCACGCGCTGTAAGGACAAGATACTCTAGTAATTTCCCTCTCTGTAGTGAGTATATAAGTCCCCCCGATGATTCCGAGTAACGGGCGTCGGGGGATGGTAGAGGGAAGACACACACCGTACGTATCGAGTCGTTCACCGACTCTCGTACAGTAAAGAACTGCCGGTCGTCGGCAGTTTTCCCTCGAATTTCTCCATTTTAGTGGCAAATTCCACAGCAGTGGCCTGGAGATGTTAGAGTACAGTACCTCTGCTCTAAGTTGGATATCTCCCAGATATTGATGGAATTTTCTTGCTTTTTGATTGGCGTGCTGTTGTTGCATCAGTTTTCAGTGGCCCACTGGCAATGTTCTGAAATAAATGGCAGGGGCAAAAAATATCTCTCTTATCTCTAGAGATATTCCTACAATGCCCTATCGAAGGCTTTTACCAATCAAATTACACCAACCATACTCACCCATGTGGGTGTGGACACGAACACGTCGCTTACCACTTCTGTAAGTGCTGTACCCCGATATAGACAGCGTAGTCTCCATTTCAAGCCCTACAGATCGGCCACTGTCCACATCACCGTCATGCTCGCGGGTAGCAGAATGTGAGAAGGACATCGAAAGCGTCGCTTCGCGATCGCCCCGCGCTTAAACTGATCACGAATGCTGTTTGTCTCGGTTCATATCGCGAAAACTACTGTGCGTGCGCCTCTGGACAGACAGCGGTGTGATGGAGGCGCATGCTGGCAACGCAAATTCAAAAATATGTTTCCACCGCCTACGATCCTGCTATATTCGGGAATACGGCTACTGTCCTGGCAATTTCCAATACCACATAAACATCTGCAAACCTACGGCCGTAAAATTGGAGAGCACGCACACCTTGGCAATGGATAACAGCGGGCCGCCGGTGCCGTACAGAAGTTGCCACTAGCATTTCCCAAAAAACGGCATGTAGTATAAAAATGTCGCATTGAAATTGATCTCAGGACTCCCAACTCCACGGGCGCCATCCTCTGCAGATTGAAGCAACTCTCTGACGACCTACGGTTCTATGACAAGATCCGCCGCGCTTTTACCGGAGCGCTCAATGCTGCGATGAGCACACACCCTATCGTGTGTAGACGCCAAAGAGTGTTCGGATGAGTCCAGTGTCCGCATAATAGTGAGTTAATAATGAGATTACGCCTGGGAATTTCACAATTAGTGAGTCAATTTCAACAACCCCATTCCCGCACTTGCCTTCATCTACAGATCGAGCTTCTAATGCACTCTAAACCAATTTCAACAGCCCAATTCCCGCACTTGCCTTCATCTACAGATCGAGCTTCTAATGCGCTCTAAACCAATTTCAACAGCCCAATTCCCGCACTTGCCTTCATCTACAGATCGAGCTTCTAATGCACTCTAAACTGCCATAACGATTACACGTCAACATCGCCATTTTGCACCTATGCTGCAGTATCACATACCGTGAAAACGAAAACGGACCGATGCACACAATGCCGATCGAGGTCCCATGCGTGGATTAGACTGTTTTGACCCGTTGTGAGTCTCTCCCAAAACGTTTGTGAGCAGAGGAGCCCTTCTTCTGGCTCAAGGAAAAGGCCATTATGGCTCCAGTATGAACAAGGTTTCGGACTAGGATGTGGGAAGACTTTAAACCACCACTACTACTAGATGCAATAAAGATGGGCTGGTGGCTGGCGAAAACGCTACAAGCCATGCAAGAGACGCTGGCAGCTTTTAAACGAAAAAAACAAACAAAAAAAACAAAAAAACAGCCCAGCCCACCCGTTCAAACTAGGCCATCTCAATTTTCCTCGGCAAGTTATTGTCATGAAACGGCAAGCGCAACTTCAGCAACCCGTCCTCATACAATACGACCCCAGCACCACCTTTTCCGTGCCAACTCTCCGAGGCAGTCGAAACCCCCCCTCGAACACCTTGATTGGACATCGTTCCATCGCCGCCTCGGCATTCCCGGCACCGTCACTCTGTAGCGCAGTAGTCCGATTTCAAGAGCACTATGATTAACGGACTTAAAAGTTGCCTAATTCCCCTACCGCGAATATCCGACGGACGCCGAAAGGTCGCGATCGGGCGGCCCAGCGATGAACACAATTGAGCGCGACTGTTGGGTAGAAAGTTCTGAAAAGGGCGAGAAGGGATGATTTAATATAAAGGCAGCGCTCTCCCCAGGCATGGCTGGGGCAGAGCGAACTCGCCACCGACTTGCGTTTTCTGAAAAGGGCAGGAGCCCCTCCGGGCTACCTTATCATTCCCCGAGAGTTGTAGCGTTCCTTTTTTGCAGTGTCCCTAGAGACCGACGCGCACAATTCGCCACAACTCCCAACATGCCTCGCGGATCCTCCCTCGCGGCTTTCCGGCATCTTCCCTTCGAGGCGGAGCAGATGTCGTTTACAAAGATCAGAAACTCGTGGCTCTGACCCTGCACGTGCGATCAGATTCCATGTCGGGGTGGCGAAGAACGGTCGAGAAGATGTGAGAAGTGCGAGATACGGAGAAAGTGAGTGGTTGAAGTAAGGCTTTTATGGTACAGAAGGGGACAGCACCGGGGAGAAAGCGAGGACCGGGAGGCTGGCGAACTCTCGATGCCTTACGAGTAGAAGCCGTTTCGGCCGGGCAGCCCATTTTTTCGGTATTTTCTGTGATGATATGCTGCAGTCCCCATTGGACGGAACACGTGTCGGAGGTTCTTGAACGATGTACAATCGATCCTCGATGTATGCATCCTCCATAGCTGCATGTCCTCGATGTACAGTATGTATCCTCTACAAGTATACACGCTGCATATCTCGGTTGTCTCACGGCTGGCAAAATTATGGCGCAATATCAGGCAGTGGACAACCTGCGATATCAGCACAGTGCGGCAGTGCCAGGCCGACACAGAGTATGTCGCCAAACGCAACGCGCAAGCTCCTGCACGTGTCGTGAAATTGCAGTGATATTGAGGATCATGCCCAGTTGTCGCAATCTTCCGAAAAACTACTGTTATGGGCGGTGCCCTGTGGCAACCTTCGATAACAGTAGTTTTTCGCAATATTGGGCAACGGATGAAACGAAACAGGCTTGAACCCGCTACCCGTGGTACGAGGGGGTGTGCGAAGGCGATCTCGACGGAGACAGTTTCGACCTGTGCGTTTTTTTTTGATTTAATTGAGTATGCTTTCCTTGGGGGTCAGCCGAGAGACAAGTGTGTTGTCACACGGGGCACACTCGGGCCGATATCGCCTCTTGAGCCTCCCATGCGCCCTCGCCTCCGCCTCGAGGCGCATGTCCAGCCCTCGTGCTGATATCCGCCCTCTTGCCCCGTGTGACAAGGCATACATGTATACATCCTCCATAGCTGCATTTGATGAAAGATCAACTTTTACTGATTCAGATGCGTATATTCAGTAAGATGTATGTTACAGCGAAAAATCATGGCTATTCCAAACTCGGGAAATTAAACAAACATATGGATCTCTCTATATGTGAGAACGTGAGCTTAGAGTCTGGGTCGAAATGGGACGGATACGTATTCGCTACGCCGATTCAGGAAGCTTGTTATCAGGAAGCTTGTTATCAGGAAGCTTGTTATCAGGAAGCTTGTTAAAAGAATGAACTCCATTTAGTGTTCAGTGGACTCCCGCAGCTTTTTTAAAGAGAACAACTTTGAGTTTTTTGTTGGGGCACTTAGAATAATGGCTACAACTCTTCTTTGACTTCGTTGCCGAATGTTGGGTTTCTGCGAGCGGCAATGTATTCTTTCAATGTTTGAGTAGCATTTGTGGCCAACTTCTTGTCTGCCCACTCGATAAGATAGGCGTGTGTAAAGGAGTGGTCAGGAGCTGCGACGGCAACCCCAAAGTGGTGTAAAAAATGGTCACGGCTGCCCCCATGCGGGGTGCGCACATGTGTTTTGAAAACAGCCAATAAAGACTGCTGTTTCTTTCAAGAAGCCAGCACATATTGCAGCACGGGTGTTGTGTCCAATGGAGCTAACCGGGCAAGGCAAGCAAAAACCAGCCTGTTAAGACACACCCTGAGACACACCCTCAGGGTGTGTCTTAACAGGCAGGGTGAGGGTGTGTCTTAACAGGCTGTTTTTTTTTTGCTTGCCTTGCCCGGTTTTACCAGGAATACAGTACTTTTAAATTCTTAACAAATACCGTATGCTTCTTAGGGCCCTTACTTTTCTTAAACTCAAAAAGTAAAACATAGGAGCCACTTATAGCACGCCAAATCACCTCTTTGGGAAAAGCAAAGCAAACTGCAGAAAAACGGGGCATGTTTTAAGACACACCCTCCGGGTGTGTCTTTAACATGCCCCGTTTTTCGACTATTACACATGTACAACAAAAAGAAACTCTACATGCGCTGCTCCGGCTCCGGAACGGGTCTCGGAACGGCTTGTCGACAAGTCTGGAATGTTCCAGGCCCCCTCGTCCTCATTTTCATCTTCTACGCTGTTTCTAGCATACAGTCGCTCCCAATCTCCGTATCCCACATATCTCGAAGCGTCTCGATTAATCTTCAGCACCCTGATGACGGACCTGGCCTCTCGTGCAGGCCACGCCCTCGAAAGCCTGGCGTATACTAAATTCCTATTGCTTCCTCCACCGACACCGTCCGTCCCAACTGACAATCCCATCAACTACGACAATTCACTGCCGCAATCAAAAACGACTTGAAACGATTCGAAATGCTCTTTGCCACCCGCCCATCCACCCTTTACATCCTCACCTCCCGCGACGCCGACGACTCGTTATCGGAAGCGCCCCGCCCGCATTCCGCGGGAACCAATCCCAAAATGCATCCGACGCGGTATCATCACCTCCGAACCTTCGGGCCCGCACACGACTTCTTCGGAAGCGAGTCCGAGGCCGTACTGGAAGTTGAGCTTCCGGGCGTGGCACGGAAGGACGTTGAGGTCTTCGTTCACGGAAGGGATCTGACGGTCACCGGGAAGCGCTACAGACGTGAAGATGAACAGGCGCCGCCGGTGAAGAGGGCCAAGACTTTGCATGGCACGCCTGCTTGTGAAACGCAGACAGACGGGCATGAGGCGCCGGGCGGCGCAGCCGGGAACCGGAGGAAGCCTGAGGGGACGACTGACAGTAGCGAGAAGGTGGTCGAGAGGGATGGGCGGGGAGGGTGCGAAGCATGCACTGGGAAGAAAGGTGTGAAGGGCGGTGTGGGGAATAGTAAGGGTGCATCCGAACGACGTCCTTTCAGGGTTTTCAGCGCTACGTTCCGGCTGCATTCGCAAGTTGATGCTGCTAAGGTGGCTGTCGCGTCATATGAGCACGGGGTGCTGCGATTGCGCATGCCGTATCAGGAGAAGACTTCGCCGAGGAAGATTGACATTGCGTAGAGGCAGAGGCACGTCCGAGAATGGAACGCCCAGCTTTTTTTGTTTTAGACTAGGACACGTTGATGTAAAATGTGGGGTGACGTTGTGCAAAGAGTGATCTCAGAATATTTTGTGCTGCTTGAAGCATGAGCCTTTATTCCTGAATGCGTTACGAGGGAATCGCAACGCTATTCGGTTGGGTTGAAGTGAGCACAAGAGCAAAATGGCTTTTGCGTTCTTGCAGAAATTGCATCCCCGCCTCGTCTCGAATTAAGCCACCCCGGTTGGGTCTTCAGTATTGGATTTAAGTTGTAATCATCGCTTCACTCTGGGAGTGATAGTGAATGCAAAAGCGTAAATCACAGCGTTGCCAGAGTATGCGCCGTGAAGCGGAGTTAGTCATGTGGGAAAGATTGATGGGAAGTCCAGATTGAGATGGTCTCCAAGAAGGATAATTAGGACATGATGAGCAATGCGGATTTATCGGGCAAGCAACAGATGGCGGTGAGATACAGAAGACAGCCCGAAAGTAGATTCCATCCTCTGCACTTTTTTTAAAATGGGTAGTTACCAGCAATAGGGTAGTTGCCGGCAACATTTGCCTCACATGCAAAACATCAGAACTTTTTTTATAACTTGTGCAATAAAACTTGCGATTGGGAAACAGCATGGCTGCTACCCAATCACGGGTTTTATTGGAGGTTAGAGGTGCAAGTTGTCGAAATGACCTTTGAATATGGGCGCCGAGCAGGGGAAGAGAATAAAATAGAAAAAAAGGTACAAGGGTGGCTATTTATCTGAACTTCAGAGGCTGAGTCTGAAGTATGTTGGGCTCGCTTTTGCTGATTGTTTTAAAGGGTTGGCACAGGTGGTGTGGAAGATTGAAGAGATGTGAAACAACACGTGTGCATACTGTTGTATTTTCACCTCCGTTCACTTGTGTGTTGCTTTTTTTGTGACCACGTCAGTGTCAGTATAGGTGCAATAAACAGAAGCAGTAAAAAGAAGGTTAGGTTAGGGAAGAATACTGTAGTTGAAATTTCTTGAGAAATGATTCAACCTGATCTCAGGTTGAAACCTGAGATCAGGTTGAATCGTCAGGCAGGGCAGGAACACGTTGCCATCAGGGCAACGTGTATGTATAGCAATGGAAGCAGGGAAAGTTTTTTTCCACTGAACGGCCCTCAAGGAGGCCCTCTGAAGGCAGTCGCGTCACGGCATCTCTGAGCGGAGGCAGGAGAGAGAATAAATTTGTCAAGATTTTGCCATTTCGAAGGTGATTGATTGTATCTCCAGATATTGTTTTTTTGTACCCTAAGGGTTCTGTAAAACGTGTGGATTAACGGGGGGATGTTGGAACAAATGATTGGGACATTTTTTCTGCAGGATCATTTGTTACAAGCAAATCTATTGAGTGTTTCGTAGAGAAAAAAAAACTACATATGGCACCATCCAATGGTAGTCGGTCATGCATAAATATCGCATCAAGCACTCAAAAGACCAGATCTCATAAATGCTGTTTCGTATCTGCGCCCGCGGCCCTATATGTACTTCTATGTAGTGAACCTGTCAGTGGCGAGGCACTTGTGTGTGTGTGTGTGTGTGTGTGTGTGTTTGTGATGTGCGCCTTTTGAACAAACACAGAAATGAAGGCACATAGGTCTGAACATACAGAGAACGCTTTGTTTATCAAAGTTGACTAAGTGTAACGCGAGTCCTTGTTCCGCGCGGAATCCCTTATTATGTGGGTAAGATGCTAAAACTATGGAGGGGATAGGGGCGGACGGGGTGGTGCAAAAGGCACAAGTGAGGACTTGTAAAGCGCGTAGGCAGCAAGCTAGAACTCGATCTGAATCTTGCGGGTGCCCTTGTCGGCGACCATAGGGATGGTCATGTTGAGGATGCCGTCGCCGACGTGGTCTGCCTTGATAGCGTCGACGTTTGCGCCCTGTGGGAGCCTTGCCTCGAGGAGGTAGACGATGCTGGGGACGGGGTCCTCGCCGGGGTGGGCGGGGTCTCCGTTCTGGGCGGCGGGGTCCTTGGCGGCGGCGGGGTCGTCGTCCTTCTTCTCGATGAGGGGGCGGCGGAAGCGCTTGCCGCGCACGGTGAGCTTGTTGTCGTGGACCTCGACGGAGAGGTTGTCCTTGGACACGCCCGGGATCTCGATCTCGAAGTGCGCGGCCTCGCCGTCCGCCTCGTAGCGGTACGACGGCTCGACCGTGTGCGTCGAGCGCGCGCCCGACTCGGTCATGTCCAGCATGCGGCGCATCGTGCGCAGGTCGTTGCTGAACGGGTTGCCCCACGGGAAGAGGCTGTGGTGGTTGTACGGCGTGAGGAACGACATGGCGCGGGCGTTGGGCGGTGAGGAAGTTGGGGGGGTGAGGAGTTGGGGTGTGGTGTAGGCGCGGGTCGGGTACTTGTCGTGGAGTGTGTCCGAAGGGTGTGGTGGGTGTGGGTGCGGGTGAGGGGGAGAGGGGGTGATCGGTGCATGGTGCGTTTATATAGAGTCTGTGCTGGCGGGGGCGCCTCGCCTCCCAGGGCGGACTACTGTAGCACCCCGTGTCGCGGTTCTAGAAGGAGGGGGGGGGGGGGGCGGGACGGACGCTGCGCGAAAAGTCTAGACGTGCGCTTGGCGTGTCGCGCGGGCAGGCCAAGTCGAAGGAACGAGGTATGTGTCCGACGGTGGAGAAGGCATGCTCCCCGCGCGGGGGTGGGCGACGGTGAGGGGGGGTGTTTTTTTGGGGGGTGTTGAAAGGTGGGGGGGAGCGTTTTTTGCGTGTTTTTGGCGCGTGTGCATGTACACGTAGACTTTTTTTCTAGAGACGCGTGGCGGAGAGGCATCGAGAGGCATCGAGAGGCATCGAGAGGGAGGCATCGAGAGGCATCCAGAGGCATCCAGAGTGATCGCCGCGCCGCTGCGCCCGCGACACAGGCGCTCGACAGCACGGAGGTCGAGCTGCAGGCTCGCCGCGCCCGCCCGGACACGGCTTGGAAACGTCCTCATGGAAAACACTCATGGGACGTGGCCCCCGCCCGCTTGACGTGCAAAAGCGCACCGCCGCTTCGCTGCAACTCGTTCTGTGCGCGAGGCGTTGGCGACCCCGAGTAGCGGCGCTGCCAGTCGCGCTTTCTCCGCAACCGCCAGCCTGCTCGCCGCCTTGCAAACTCTTCCATATCTTTTTCTCGCCCTTCTTATCTTCCATATTGACTGACCATTACAGACCCGCTTACAAACCCGCTTACAAAGCCCCACTTTCTCCGATCAATTTTTTTTAAAAAACTTTTAAAACTTTGTGTGATTGCGAAATTGAAAACTTTTCCGACCAATTTCACAATCACACAAATTTCCAAACCTTTCCCAATTCTTTCCCTCTCTCCTCTTGACTTCCATCTTGACGCTTTCATGGGAATTACTTGCTGCCTTGTGCCTTGTGCTTCGTCCCCGCCCCTCCTGCGCCGCCAACCGGACAACAGATTATGTTTCGTATGTGCAAAACCAAACTGCATCGCGCGTAACCATTAATGGTTAGTGTTGGCAGTTGAATGGGGCTGCTTGCGTAGGGGAGGGAAAAGGCCAAGGAGGAGAGAAGATTTTTGTTTACG